CTATTTTGTCAAGGCTTTATATTTGCATGAACTAAATATGACTACTGAAATAGGCACTTTTGGATAAAATACAAATCAATAGTAACATGCCACTTCAAAGGACTTATGTAGTCTGCATGTGTCTCAAATTTCACTAGTCTGAAAAGCCTGAGCCCAATTTTACTTGATTATATGTAATGATTTAATTATTTACTCGGCACCCAGCGATTTCCAGGGTCATGTGTCTATTCCAAAATCTTTTCCAGTTTTCACTTGCCACCTCTATTCACCATCTTTTTCTGGATTCAAACCTATAACCAATTGTATGCAAGTTATTCACATCTAGCTTTCTTCATGCTTTTGTAGCTCTTTTCTAAATGTTTCAACTGAGCTGTGGACACCTATGCATTCTTTCCGCAAATATAGTAAGAGTAGAGGCAAATTTGTAAGCTTTAACAAAATTATCTTGAAGATTTTTAAATAGTGATGAAAATTTCAACAAGGGGACAGTTAAAATCCAGTATACAACATGGCTGTTCTCAAAGAACATAAACCCATTAATTTCTATAGCAGGGGTGGGCAAACTTTTTGACTCGCGGTCCACAATGGGTTCTTAAACTGGACAGGAGGGCCGGAACAAAAGCATGGATGGATGGATGGAGTGTTTGTGTGAACTAATGTAAATTCTTTTTTGATGGGAAAAGTAATCCCAAGAGAGTCCTTTAACTATAAGGATGATGCCATCAGGGCCACAAAGTAGGAGCAAGGCGACTCTGCCTGCGGGCCGTAGTTTGCCCATGGCTGTTCTATAGTCATCTACTACTGGGTAATACATTACCAGTTTAATTCTCTGTTGTGTTTTTTTTTCTTCTTACGGCATTACTTATCGATGACAGTGACATTTTCACTATGGATCCCTGGAGAAAGTAATGTGGGCTTTTTATTTTTTATTGTTTAAAGTGTTACATATGTCTCCCTTTTCCTCTATTGACCCCCCTCCAGCCAACCCCCAGGACATCCCCCACTGCCCTAGTGTCCATGTCCATTGGTTATGCTGATATGCATGCATACAAGTCCTTTGGTTGATCTCTTACACCCCACTCCTCGCCTTCTCTCAGACGTTGGACGGTGTGTTCAGTGTTTCTTTGTCTCTGGATCTATTTTTGTTCATCAGTATGTGTTGTTGATTATATCCCTCATATGAGTGAGATCATGTGATATTTAACTTTCTCCAACTGGCTTATTTTCCTTAGCATAATGCTCTCCAGGCCCATCCATGCTGTTGCAAATAGTAAGAGTTCTTTTATACAGCAGCGTAGTATTCCATTTCAAATGGGAGTTCCATTTTTAATTTTTTGAGGAACCCAGTAGTGTTCTCCACAGTGGCTGCATCAGTCTGCATTCCCACCAGCAGTGAAGAAGGGCTCCTTTTTCTCTGCATCCTCTCCAGCACTTGTCATTTGTTTATTTGTTGATGATTGCCATTCTGACAGGTGTGAGGTGGTACCGCCTTGTCCTTTTGATTTGCATCTCTCGGATGATTAGTGACCTGGAGCATGTTTTCATATGTCTCTTGGCCTTCTGTATGTCTTCTGTCGAAAAGTGTCTATTTAAGTCCTTTGCCCATTTTTTATTGGATTGTTTATCTTCGTTTTGTTAAATTGTATGAGTTCCCCGTAACTTTTATAGATTAAACCAGCCGTGGTCAAACTATGGCCTGCGGGCCGGATCCGGCGGGTTTGAAATGAATAAAACTAAAAAAAAAAGACCGTACCCTTTTATGTAATGATGTTTACTTTGAATTTATATTAGTTCACACAAACACTCCATCCATGCTTTTGTTCCGGCCCTCCTGTCCAGTTTAAGAACCCATTGTGGCCTTCAAGTCAAAAAGTTTGCCCACCCTTGGATTAAACCCTTATCTGAGATAGCATTGGCAAATATGTTCTCCCATGCAGTGGGCTTTCGTATTGTTTTGCTGATGGTTTCTTTTGCTGTGCAAAGGCTTTTATTTTGATGTAGTCCCATTTGTTTATTTTCTCCTTAGTTTCCTATGCTCTAGGAGCTCTATCGGTAAAGATATTGCTACAACAAATGCCTGCTACTTTGCTGCGTATGGAGTCTTCTAAGATATTTAAGTATTTTTGTGTATGGTATAAGTTGGTGGTCTAGTTTCATTGTTTTTACATGTATCTGACCAAATTTCTCAGCACCATTTATTGGAGAGACTTGACTGCATTGTATGCTCTTTCCTCCTTTGCCAAATATTAATTTTGCATAATGGCTTGGGTCTATTTCTGGGCCTGTTTCATTGGTCTATATGTCTGTTCTTGTGCCAGTATCATGCAGTTTTGAGAACAGTGGCTTTGTAATATAGCTTGATGTCTGGTATTGTGATCCCTCCAACTTTGTTCTCCTTTCTCAGGATTGCTGTGGCTATTCGAGGTCTTTTTTTATTCCATATGAATTTTTGGAGAATTTGTTTTAGGACTGTGGAATATGCTGTTGGTATTTTAATGGGGGTTGCATTGAATCTATAAATTGCTTTTGGTAGTATGAACATTTTAATGATGTTGATTCTACCAATCCATGTATGGTATGTTCTTCCATTTGTTTATGTCTTCCTCTACCTCTTTTTTCAATATACTGTAGTTTTTCAAGTACAGGTCTTTTACCTCCGTAATTAAGTTTATTTTCAGGTATCTTAATTTTTTTGTGTGTGCAATGGTAAATGGGATTTTTTTTTTAGTTCCTCTTTCTGTGAGTTCATTATTGGTGTATTAAAAAAAAATAGATTTCTGGGTGTTGATTTTGTATCCTGCTACATTACCAAATTCATTTATTAAGTCTAGTAGTTTTTTAATGTAGTCTTTAGGGTTTTCTATATACAATATCATATCATTTGCTAATAATGACAGTTTTATTTCCTTTCCAATTTGGATGCCTTTTATATATTCTTCCTGTATGATCATTATGGCTAACACTGCCAGTACTATGTCAAACAGGGGTGGTGAAAGTGAGCATCCCTGCCTTGTTCCTGTTTTTAGGGGAAATGGTTTTATTTTTTGCCCACTGAACATGATGTTGGCTGTAGGGTTGTCATATAAGGCTTTTATTATGTTGTTTGTGGTATGATCCCTCTATTGTGGGCTTTTTATTTTTTAAAGGAAAGTAGTCAACTTTAGGATAAATAGAACTTTTAAGCCACTATGCTGGTCACAACATTAAAAAAGACTAAGTTAAAACATGTGGAGTCATCATCATCGTTTTAATCAGGTTATTAATTTTAAAGGCATTATTGTGAGATGTATCTTTTATAAACTATTTATTTCCATCTCCCTGTTTACCTCCTTGCCACATTGTAACCTCTTCTAACATGACTGAAGAGATCCTTTTAAAAGTCTATATCATAACACATCGTTTCTCTCCTCCGAATTCTCAATGCCTCTTTTCCTAAATCTGAATAAATGACAATTTTTTTAAATGTCCTACAGGTGCTGCATGGTCTAACCTCCCCCTTCATGCTCTGAAATCATTCACATAATAGTCTCCACTTCCATCACTTGGCTCAAGTCACAGGGTTCTTTGTCAATTTTCTGTAACCTTCGTGAGGCCCCCTCCCTTCTCTGGATACGTGCAGTGTCCTCTCTGCCTTGCATTCCCTTCACCATTATCCATTTGGCTGGATTCCTTGCCTCAGCTTTTCAGTGAGGCCTGCGCTGGACACCCTATTATAACCCACATCTTTGGCCTCCTTTGTACCTTCCCTTCTCTTCCTCTGTAACTGATCACCTTCCAATAGACAGTACACTTATTTATTTT